AATGTACATAATCGAAAAATTTAAACAAATTTTACCATGGTGGGTGTATAAATGTAAATGGATTACAAGATAAAGGTGTAGTAATGGTTGCCAGTCTACAGAAGACATCAAGGGACGGTGCTCAAGGAAATGCATGAATTTTAGTCAGTTAAAAAAAAAAAAAAAAAAAAAAAAAAAAAAAAAAACCATGAATAGAAGGTTGCATTCCTCCTCATGCCTAATGTAGATAAGCAAAATGAGCACAATTATAATTAACAAAGTGTAGCAATATACAGTAATATTGTTTAAAAATCATATACAGTGTTTTGATATGAATTGACTTAGTATTCTTAAGATTGACTCATTTTCATTTGAAAATAGCCATATAAGCTTCTCATTAAAATCAAGATTAGGGAAATTGGTACATAATTCTGAGACAGATTTTAAGAAAATTTCTCGTTCATCTTTGAATTTAGTGCATTTGAGGAGAAAATGTATTTCATCCTCCACCTCATTCAAATCACATTTAGAACATAATCGCATGTGTGCTGGGATACCCTGGAACCTTCCAACTTCAATTTGTAAATGATGTGAAGATATTCTAAATCTAGTCAGGCATCTCCTCAACTCAAAATTCTTAATGATATTAAGATAATTTTCGAAACCAAATTGATCTTTAATTTTAACATAAGTACGTAGTTTACCATCCATATAACTGCCCAAATTGTCATGCCATAATTTTATGTAAGTTTTCTTCAGAATTTTGTGTATTGTATATTTACTAAATATATGATTAAACTAAAATTTTAAGAAAATGGAATTTTTTGCGTATATCTTTTTCAGTGAAACTCCCAATACTATGGTTACTATAATGATAGATGATAGCAATTTTTTAAATTTTTTTTTTTCGTGTCTTCTTAATGGGATTTTGACATCTCCTGTAACGCTTAGACTTTGCGTGGGGTTGTGTTTGAGCAAAGAGAGAGAGACGGGCACTGTTAAAATCATTGTGAAAAACAACAAAAAATATTCGCTTTCTCTCTGAAATGTTGGGATTTCAATATTTTTATCAAACTTTCATCACCGAAAACATACATGCACATAAATAGCTTTTTAAACTCTATTTATCGTAATTTTTTCTCAATACCTATCTCGATTTGATGACTAAAATATAATACATATCCATAACAGCTCGGCCAACAATACAATGACCTAAGCTCCCGATCCCGAGTCGATTTACGTACATGTACATAGTTGCTACAAATCACACCCATCATGTTCATATATATATATTTGTTATGTTAAAGTTGCTTAATGAATTATTAGAAATTAAGATTATTACATTATTTGATGTTAAGCCTAATTAATTGAAGATTAATCTTAAAATTACCAAAGATGATCAAATATTACGACTTTTATTCACCTTGCTCTACGAAGCAATGCATGTATACATGTACCTTGTGCCCTAAATTGAAATAAATATGCGAAAAAATAGATAAAATAATTACTTACTATCATGGAAAAGGGTTAATGTCCAGAAAAGGTAATAAAAATCTATGTTAACAGAGACAGTTTCAGTTATAAGTTTCACGCCCGAATGTGGAATATCACTGTTGAACTCACTCTCGCACTAATGGAAATGATGAGCGCGTATGGACGGTAGCCTAAGGGAAGATTTGGTGACAGGACGTAAACACTTGCGAATAAAAACCATTTGTGCCAACGAAGACCAACGTCGTAATTAATTAATTAATGTTATCATGATGAAAAAATGCCGATCAGCGTTTTAAAAAAAATTTTGCAGTAAGATTGATCTATTTATTACATGCATGGAATCTTCATGAAAGACATTGTTCCGCGGATGTGGTTGAAAATTTCGTGAAGTTCTAACTAGGTTGATATAAATCTATCAGAATCTTTATTTTGATTTCTCGACTTTATAATGACCCTGTCATATATCTACTGATCGTATACGTTTTTTCCTTAATAAATCTATCAGATCACGTCGTTTCATATCGCGTCCAACCAATAAGACGCAATAAAATTTTTAAAGAAGAAAAAGTATCGCGCAATTTATTTTGAACATTGAATAATCCAGTTTAAGCTGCAAAATGCAATACAATACCGTAATAATGAAGTGGAACATATCATAGTGCTATTTGTTCTGCCTCCCAGTTAAAGTTATGAAATCGATTTTTTCTCTCCCCCTCCCCCTGTTGTCCTTTTCTAATCTGGTATCCTGGTAATTGTTCAGAGTATTAAAAAAATCACTTTTATTATAATTTTATTTTTGTTACATTCGTATAAATTAATTAGTAAATAAATAAATAAATTTATATTTTTCTATTTCTCTATTTCTTTCTTTATTATCTTCCCTTAAATGAACTTGCAAATATTTTATTATTATTATTTTTTTTTTTTTTTGTTATTTATTTATTTATCATCTTCCCTTAAATGAACTTGCAAATATTTGCTTAATTATCTATAACTCCTACTCTGTACTTTGCATATAATGATCAAATTTTAAAATGAATCGGCATGACCTTACTTGTCAGGTTTGTGTTAGAGAGAAGGTCTGTATTGGCATTCATCCTGCAAGCATATGTTTCTCCTTTGTTTGCATAAATTATTTGAAAGTTGACTTTATCAAATAATTTTACAATTGAAAAATAATTTTTCATTCTATTTGTTCAGTGGATTACTGCCTTTAGTGTATGACCAAAAAAAAAACCCACGAGAAATTTAGTGGTCAAAATCAAACTTTAAACATAATTTTTAAAAGACGAAATTCCAGTTAAACTATATTCGAAGAATTCTGTGAGGGACTTTTGTAATATTTTGTGGCGGAAGGTTTTTTTTCTAGAAGAAAATGATCTTTTTGTAATTTCAAAGTTAGATTTGCCTTCCTAACTCACTGCACCAAACAAATCTCATATGGTCTGCGTGGAAATTCTACATGTATTTCCTTGCAGACTTCAGATGAGAGTTATTTGGTGCAGTGAGATATTTTCTGTTGATCCCAAATGATATATTTGATCAAACTGTTATAAATTTTGTCGTTATATTGTGAGACAAATAGCAAATATGTTGTAAAATTAAAAAAAAAATTAATCCTAAAATAATCATACTTTCAGTAAGACATGTATAATGTACTTTCAGTAAGACATTTATAATGTACATATACATGTATAATGTGTATAATGTGTGTACATTTATATTGTATTTAAAATGTCATTGATCCCCGCTTTTAACTATCTTTTCTGATTATTAAAGAGACATGTAACTTTGGTCTGCTTTAATTCAGAAAAATCGTAAGACTTTCAGATAATGTTTCATTGCTTGTTAATTTTAATGCCCCTCCCCCAATGATTATGCGAAGTAATTTGGAACGTTTTTGTCAATTAATTTTTTTATATATATTTAACATACATGTATATGATTTAACATACATGTATATGATTTAACGTACATGTATATATATAATAAGACTGTGCATGTTCACCTCACCTCACCTCACCTTTTCGTGGCCGCTGACAAGCCAATACACTTACACTGTTTCCACCTGCCTCTGGCTGCTAACCTTGCTGATGCCCAGGTATTCCATCCCAGCTTTAACCGCTCATCCCCGGTACTCCTCCTTTAAGTAATTTTTGGCCAGCCTTTCCTCTTTTCTTGTGGGTGCCATGTCAAAGTAGTGGTACAGATCCTGGTGTTCTTCATCCTAAGTACATGACCAATCCATCTCCACTTCCTGAGTGTTATTGTTTCACTTTGGCCTACTCTTGTTGTTTTGTTCTATGGTGTAGTTCTTCGTTTGATATTTTATCTGGTCATCTTACTCTGAGAAGTTTTCTCAAATTTCTATTCTGGACGGTGTCAATCTTATTTTTGCCCCGCCTTGTCGTTTTCCATGTCTCGCTTCCAAACGCAAGGACCGACAGGACCACGCTGTTAAATAACTTCACTTTTGTTTAAATGGAGAATTTTGGTGAGTTCCAGATTTTTCTTTTTAAATTGAGATTTTGTTTTTCCCACTCTGTTGGTAATATCCTCGTCAGATCTCTCTTTTTTTTTTGTTACCACACCTCCAAGGTATGGTTCTACATCGTCTATATCTTGTCCGTTGACCTTACCTGTCTGTCTTGTGTTCTTTGGTTTTCTTATAATGTTTACCCGGAACTTGCATTCTCATCTAGCTGTTTAGCGTCTGTGTTTTTTATTGGATATCTCAAGAAATTTCGAGGAAAGAAGAGCAATGTCGTCTGCGAAGTCTAGATTTTCGAGTTTTGTTATATAAAGTTCCATCTTATTCCTGTTGATTCTCTTTCTGCATTTCTTTTTATCATGAAGGTTATAACCAACAAAAGTAGGAATACTGTGAAATCCTACTTGCCTTCAATCCTGTTGATGTCAAAAGCCAGTCGGATTCTTCGCCATCTTCTAGAGGAATGCGCATTGGAATGATTCGCATAGAAGTTTCACCATTTTGACCAGTTGTCTGGAATGCCGTTGAACTTCATGATAAACCAAGGCACTCTATATATGAAAGGAATCAAATATCTTCTCAAAATCAACATAATTTACAGGCTATGTTGTGTTCCATTCGGAATGTTGTTCTAATTGACTTAATTCATTTGTCCAAATTGGGTATAAGAGAAAAAACTCTGTAAATGTGATTTATATATAAGTTGCAAATATTATAGTGCAGATAATAAACGCATACTGACCCCCTATTTTTGTTTTGAATTTTGATTAAGCCTTGTCTGCATATATTAAAAAATTCTTTACGGCCAAAAAATGAGGCTGATTGCAGGATAGAACCTATAAATGACAACATCTTTACTTTGTAAGGAATAATCGCTCTTTTGTCATTTTCTGTAAGGGCAGTAACTCTAATCTAATTCTCGCAGAGATAACTCTCCTATTTTTAGAGGTACGTTTAGTGTGCAGATGTTTACAAGCCCCATGTCAACACTTACTGCCGTATTGACAGCGTTAGGGCCCAACACGTTCACCTATAAAGCAAAGTTTTACTTTATATTTTAATTACATGTTCCTTAAATGATAAGCCTTCTAGCATTTTTTTAAATTCAGAGAATCGGTAAACACCAAATGGCCTTACACAGTAATAAAACGAAGGGGAAACTCGCTCTGGTCTCCAAGAAATCAAAATGTGAAGTGATGCTGAGTTATGACCAAGAGGACACAGAAGTTGTCAAAAAATTAAAAGGTTAAACTTATTTTCAAATTTTTTAAAATATATTTTATTGTCAAAGAAATTACAAATGGATTCAATTTCTGATGCTCATATACCTGTTAAATTCTCTTTAAACAGTTTACACATGACCATAAAAGCTTGGAAAAAAATATGCCCTTTATGCTATTAAGCATTATAGTAGATATAATTTTTTTTACAATTGAGATGGATGCTTATCTTTATCAATTACAAGTGAAGAAATGTATATTTTTTTGTTACACAATATATATTTGTGATATTTTTGCAGATATGATTAGTAAAAAAGGGATTCATGCCTGGATGGCAGATACTGATGTTACAGCAGGCACTGACATATTCAATGCCATTGGCAGAATCATAGTAGACTGTAAGGTAAATATTAAAAAAATATTAAATTGTTATACTCTTGAATATGTTGAGTTTTATACTTGTACACACCCAGAATGTTAATCTACCATTCTACTGTAGCGAAAAAGAGGGAGATTCAGACCTCTGACAAAACTGATAGCATGGAGCATGATGTTTTATGCTTCAATTTTTTTGAAACATGTAAATCTATATGGCCTCTATATGTCCTCTGCAATAATTAAAATAAATATATGAACTGTAATGATGTAGACAAAAATACCATTTACCATGTTTACATATGCAAATATTAACATGTGCAAATGCTTTCTTTTATATAACACTATTGAAAGCAATGTGTATCTATATCCGTATAAACACGGGTTCTTCACATCATAAACATTCGACGTAATGTCTCAGTGACATCATACATGTAAAGGGTCGACACACAATCAATGGATTAAACACGTGCCATTGAGTTTGAAAAACAAAACACTTCACACCTTAAAAATTATAATCAGGCAAATATAAAATATAAATGAGTCAAAAATGTAATATAAGTAATAAGGTATCATTTTTAAACATCTATCGGGATATAAATATGGGTTGGTACGAGATCAATTTTACCATAAAGCCCTTTGGGCTTTATGGAATTTGATGTCGTGACCAACCCGTATTTATATCCCGATAGATGTTTAGAAATGATACCTTATTTCTTAAAGAAATATTTTTCATACTCATCAGAATTAGCCCATTCACGGTAACTGCAGTACTACTCTATTGCAGGGCAAAATAATAACGTTTGGCAAAGTTTTTGTTGACAGATAATCAAATGACGTACATTTAAGAAATTTGTATTTTTTTAAACAAGCCAAAGTAGAGTAGCAAAAAAGTGAATGCTGATTCGCTTTTTTACTATAATTATGAAAGAAGTCAATAGTTTTTATCCAGATTGTAGACTATCTCCCTATTTGTTGGTGAGTGTGTCACTGAAATTTATCGTAACCAATGTAATCACAGAGAGGTATGCACCTGTCATTATGTCAAATGCGTGCTTGATAAGTATGAAAAAAGCATTTGTATGCTAGCTCTTAAATTGAAATTGCATGACAAAAAAAAAAACAAATAAGATTTTATAACTGAGTAGCTTCAAAAATGGCTACCAAGTGAACCAAAAATGGATTTTAAACAAAAGCGGTAAATATTTTTAAAAAAGTGGTAGATGGAGAAAAGGTAAAAAAGCGGTTAGATTATTTTCCATGAAAAGCAGTAGAGTTAACATGAATCTATACCTATACTGATGTGAAAATACATGAAACTTCTAATAGAGTCATGCTAAATCTTTGATGTTTCCATTAATGTAAAGGTGACCGAAGGGAATTAAACCATATGTATTATTTTTAACTGAAATTAATGCAAGAATTGTTCCTAAATATGTGTTACTTTTTCTTGAGTTAGATATTTGTCTTCATCATGAGCACAGCCTCAGTCAGTTCCAAACTCTGTCAGGATCAGCTAGCTTTGGCGTATGTGTCCAAAAAGAATATTTATCCTGTACAGCTGAATGAGAGAGATGACTTGCTGAATCATATGGACAATGGAATGTAAGTATAGGTATAGTTGAACTTCAGTATCTCGAATACTGATATCTTGAATACCATGGATATGCCGAAGTGATTTGGAAGTCCCAACCACATATTCCTTAAGTATTTTACCTTTAATATATTGAATCCTTGGATATCTCAAAGTTTTTTCTCGGTCCCATGGAGTTTGAGATAACAAGGTTTGACTGTATATTTATTGTGCCTTTGGTTAGATAAGAGCTGCTTTTGATGGATCCAATATCAACATATCATTTATTTTAAATCCTTTAATTTCTTTAAATCCCCAGTTTTATGTTTACTCCCTTAAATCTACCTAAGATTTAATATTCAATATGTTATCGCTTGTCATCATACTTGGAAACAATTAGCTACTGATTTGATTGACAAGCCAGCTACATATGTACATATGCTACCTGATGTTCTGAGATTGAATGCTTCAATACTGCTTACCTGATCACATGTCAAGGTTTTTTGTGAACCTCTTTTTTGTGGCTTGGGAACCAAAAACTCAATTCTCTGTAATTTGGAACATTTGTTCCCCCCCCCCCCTTCATTCAGATTAAAATAATACCTAAAAAAATTAAGAGAAGATAATTAAATACTGATGGCATGAAGTAATTTTGAAAGTAATGAAAGATTCCCATCTGCTTGAAGATTAATCACCACTATCTGTAGTAATATAAGTTTGCATACAGATATTGTTTGATATACATTGGGTTAAGATTTGTTTTGAAAATTTTCATAGTTTTGGGTGTATTCAGTTATTATGTGAGAATTGACTTTGTAATTAAAACTTGTGCACCAGCTCAAGCAGCTGCTGGTGTAAGAGATATATAGGGACATTTTTGTAGCTGGAGTACATTATTCATACAGTTACATTGTCCTCAGACTAAGAAAACTTATTTTTAGTGCAGCAAAACTCAATTTTTAAAACTTTATTTATGTAAAAGAACTAAAAGAACTTTATGTTATGTTGAAGTAAACATACATTTTAGTACCATGCCTGTATTTTAAGTATTCTGTCAGATATGTACATTTATCAATATATTTATTATTATTATTATTTCTTTGAAAATCTTCTTCTCTGCCCCTGGGTATTATTTAAACAAACTAAATACATTGTTATGATAAGCAAGGAGGCCTCTTCCAAAAGTTTGAATTTCATGGCCCCAGGGTCAAGGGTTCTGGTGAAAAGGGGGGGGGGTCTATTGATTATATAGTGAAAAAGCAAAATTTCTTTGAAAATATTCTTTTCTGCTTCTGGTAAAAAAAGCAAAGAAGCTAAGTGTAAAGTTCTGATGAGCAAGTGTGCTTCTTCCAGAGTAGTGAATTGCATGACCCCTGGGTCAGATGTGCTTGTGTAAGTGAAAATGCATTAATTCTATTAAATAATCCTGTCTGCTCCTTAGTGTTAAGCAGATAAACAAAGTGATTACTTATGATGAGCAAACTTCTGGTCCCAGGGTCAGAGGCTCTGGTGTTTCTCGGTGGGGAGGGGGGAGGGGCTCTATTGATAATATCTGTAGTAAAAATGCATTATTTCTTTGAAAATCTTCTCTGCTCCTGGGCATATCGGATGCAGAGTAAAAGTTTTAATAAGGAAGGGTATTTTTACCAGATTTTTGAACATCTGGACCATTTGGTCAAGTGTTCTGGTCCTGACCAGGGCTCTATTAATTTGTATTCTACCGAGAGGAGTTATTCCCCTTTGCCATTTACTTTTGATAATTAATCATTGTAAATAATGTACATGTACTTGAAAGATTAATAGAATAAGAGAATTATGCAAGAATTTTTATTGTATAATACAAAAAGTACTTTCATAGTTTTAATGTTCAGGTAGACTTGTAAGTAATAGATAAATAAAAATGAGACAAAAATAACTTGTCTTATTAAATGTTCATTAAAGAGCAAGAGAGGCCAATGTAAGAGATTTCAACAAGGAATGAAAAATATTACAGAAGCACTGATAGTTTGTTGATATACTGTATGGTGATAGCAATAAATGGGGAACAGATTAGAATCTAATTTATGAACTGGTAATGAATACTAGACTTATAATTTTGTTGATCCTGATCACCCTATTTTTCTTGCTTTGGGCAACAAAGCTTCACCTTTCAGTTCATTTTATACTCCTCTAAATTGTTGTATTATACTCAGGTGACCGTTAAGGCCCTTGGGCCTCTTGTTTACTTTTATGAATGTTTTGTCCACATTGACACCATTTCATTGAACAGATGAAACTTGAGTGAGAACTACATATGTTTAAATTTGTGTCATGTGACATCTATTTATATTAATCCTCTTCCTATTGTAAAAGTACTTGCCTAGGAAGTAATTTATTAAATATCACTGCCTTTAGACTCCTGCCCTTATTGCTTTGATACCATGTAATGTTACAGCAAAGGGGGTTGCAAAGATTTTTTTTTTTCATTTTACCGAATTTCTCTTTTTTTTCATGATTGAATTCTAAGGTCTTAAAATTTTCAGTTTTCTATAAAACTTTGGCTAAATTGACAAAGAAAAATAAACTTGTATGTGGATTATTTTTCTCTATTGGACTATTTTTGTAATTTAAGAACTGTATCCCTTTAATTAATCTTTCAACCATTAAATTCAAAAAAATAATTTTTCCATTCAGGAAACTTCAACTAGCTGGATTTGAATGGTTTTCATTGTGTAACAACTTTGAAAGTGAAAGTAAAGAGGTTGTGGATAAAGTCTGTGAAGAGATTCAAAGTGAGCTTGAGGCAGAGAAAGCAGATGGCAGTAAACAAGGTCTGTTATAACATTTTTTTTTTTTTTTTTTTTTTTTTTTTTTTACACATGAATTATTTATTCTATTAGAATTTTTTTATTCAGTTCACTTGTAATATGTAATTATATATATTTTTCACATTCATCGTGAGTTCCTGCATTTATGGATTCACTAAGATCTAGATTCATTTATTTATAATAATTCTCTTTTTTAAATATTTGATAAGTTTAATTTTAAAAAGATCTACCCATTGTCACACATTCAGAAACAAATGAGGAAGCAGTAAAAATACAGGGTAAATACAAAATATATACTAATTAATATCCACACTTAATTGACTAACAGTTAACTATCTTTATTCATGTGTTATGGGTTACTTCACTTTTCAATCAGTATGCACAACTATCTCAGGTGTTCACCCTTTCCAAGGAAAACAAAAAGTCGATCTGTACTTGAACAGCTCACTTTGTAACTTAAGAAATAATTTAGGAAGTTGCACATTCTTTTTATTTTCATCGACCAACTGGTTTGGTTTGCTCTTAGTTGTCAAGTATTCTAGCTGGATGAAAATAAGCGATATTAAAATTATGTAAATTATATTAGTTAATATCCACTGTCAATATTTTTGCCTTTATTTCTAAAATATGAAAACTAGTTGTCTTTAGCAATCCATGAACAATAAACTTGTTAGAACCTTTTTCTTAAAGCTTTCTGTTTGAAAGATTTTTCAAGAAGGTTCTTGTGCATCAGTGAAATGTACAGATTAATAATTCAGTATTTTATGTGCTTTTTGACCACTTTATATTTGATTTGATTTAAACATAATTTAATTCAGATTGTAACGTGCCATTTGATTGGATAAAAAAATTTCTTTATATCATATAAATTAATTGGGTTGCCTACGTCAAAATGACTTGTGTCAAAAATGTATCGATCCGCCTGACCTTACATTTAAATTTTGTACAATTTGAAGTCATTTTTTAAAGGCAATCATCTTTTTTTCTTACACTAAATGAATGAAAATTAAATTATAAGGAATGAATTTGATAGCTACCCAATTTATATGGTATAAAGTGGGTTGGAACAGTTTACGCTTCTTTATAAACTGCTTCGCGGTTTATAAAGCGTAAACTGCCCCAACCTACTTCATACTGTATATATTGGGTAGCTGTCAAATTCATTCCTTAAATATCTTATTGAATCATAATCTATCAGATTGGACACAAGTTTTTCCAACATAAACTCTCCACTTTTTATGAATATTTTATAAACATGCAAGAAAATGTCTTTTTTTAAATGCATTAGGGATGGAAATGGTTACAATGGTTGCAATCATTTATCTGACCCACTTACACAAGTTGTGTATTTTTTCTGCATTATGTTGCAACTATTATCCCTGCATTAACAAAGAAAGAAAGATATTTTATTGTTTAAATCTTAGAAATGTATTTCAGTGTGGAAAGTAATTCAAGATGGTATATCCTACATAATAATAGAAACTTTTCACCCTGACATGAGGCCCATTATAGCACTTTAAGATAAAATATGACATGATGAAAAGTGTCAGATCATATCATCTCAGATAAACATTTATAACTGAGAATAAATTACTTTTCAGATATATATATTTTTTTGAATATACAAACAGAAATAAACAAATTATTGAGGATTTATTACCTTACTTTAATTTATAACTTACAGTAGTAGCATCTAAATTTAATGTTACTGACCCATAAGGATGTGAAGTCAAAATATATTTCCAAAAAAATTTTAAGAGAAATTGCAACCTGTGTAACTATAATTGTCAGTCAATAGAAGTGTTGTTCTACATTCTTAGTTGTTCATTATTTCCTTCACCAATGAAATATTGATAGGACATTCAAGATGATTCTGATCATGAACAATGAAGGAACAAGGTATGATAGAGCTTTGTTTTTGGTTCTTATACTAAGGTAATGTCGAAGTTGTTAAAGTATATCTATAAATTCTTTAATAGCAAATGCAAGTGTTAAATAAATCAATATCTTGTAATGTACAGGAGTTGATGGCCTACATATAAGAATTAACCCAAATTCCAACATTTTTAGATAAAAATAAAGTGAAAAATTTTAGCATTTTAAGAAAGTATGTTGGCATGCTTTAACCAGTAGGTTTCTGTTTGAAAATCTCAAGTAATGAAAATAAGTAATCTTTTCTTTGCAATTCAATTTGGATCTTTTAATCTTATCAAATAACATGTCTCTCAGATTTGTGATATAAAAGTCAAATGATTTACACATTTCATTGGAAGAATGTTTTCCATTCTCCCTGTTATAACTTAGATCATTATGAAAAATATATTCAAATCATAACATTTCTGCCATCACCATAAAATCTGGGGACCAAAATCAGCGCTGATATATACCTACATGTACTTCTTGAAGAACGATGTGTACATGCCCAGAAGCAAGGAAATTTTTTAAAGATCTGGGGCATTTTACAAGTAACTAAAGGTGCTGGAGTTTTTCCCTATTTTTTGACATTAAAGTACAAGTAGGTTATTGAGCTTATGCAAAGATGAATCACAAGAGTGTATAATCACCTATTTACTGGCTATGAGAACATTAGCCATTTTATTGTCCCCCAAGACAGCTAGCAACTATTTCCTGAGGTGCAGCTGAGAGAAATAGTTGCTTTCAAGAGGGACAATAAACTGACTATTTTCTGAATAGACAGTAAATAAGTGTTTTTTTTTAAATACCGAAGCAGACGGTACTTGTGTCAGACACTGCATTGAATAAAGCCAGAGAAATTAATAGATTTGAGGACTATTTCACAATGAGCAAATACACAAAAACTATTAATTTTCATGGTGGAGGATTGAATCTGTAAATAAACATTAAGTTTTCTTTTTTTTATTTCAGACTTGAGGAAATCTCTAAAAAGACAGAAAACTTTAACTAACTTGAATAAGAGTTTTCAGTCAAAAACAAAGATGTCCAGACTTTATCTGGAAGACGCCAGTACTTACTGGAATGAATGTTTTGGAAAAGAAACAATTATCGATTGGGAAAAGTATGTACCTTTAAAGAGATATGAAATATTCTTAATCATAAAATTTTACTCATTTGTCATCCAGTTAAAAGAAAAGAGACAGACAAAATCAAATCCAACTCAATTATTTTTTTTACATAAATTATCTTGATGCTTATGGCAAAGTGTTTTACTGTTTATTCTGAAAGCAAATTATTTGGATTGACATATAGTGAGTAAGATAAAGCAATTTTTGTCCCAGGTATTTTGGCAAATTAAAATTAGTAAAGTTTTCAAAATAAATACAGTGTATGAATTTTTCAAACATCAAACATATGAAGATTTGTTCTCCATAGCCCTTAAGCTTTTTGTGTGAAATCTTAAACTTACATTTTAGTAAATGTTTTAAGTATGTTGTACTCTTGTGCACATTTAATTAAGGTATTCAAAGTGTAATGACCTCTTAATATATTTCATGAATTAAAAATTAGATGATTTAAATTAAGGTATCATATTGAAGCACTGTTTGATAAAAAATTATGAACCATTTTCAATAAAAGTAATAATATGCACATGGTCTTTTAACCAAAAAAAATGCATTGAAACCATTTGGAATAACACAAAAGGTAATTTTATAGAAAACTTTTTGTAAAAGGATGAAAGGAGATGGGTGACCAAGGCGCACAGAATGCCTATAGCTTCAGATATATAAAAATCATAATCAATTTATGAATTTAGTATTTAGAGTAATAAAAGTTCTCATTATTGAAATTCATGAAATTATAACAAACAGAACTTTTCTGAGGAAATTTTCTTGGCAAAATTTATTCTGCTATTAAAAAAATAATGTGGTATTCGTGGGGTTTGAACCCTAGCAATTAAAATCCTGAGCATCATTTTTCTTTGAGACTAACACGCTAACCACTAGGCTACACAGCTCCTGATGAATAATGGCATTTAAATCATGTTTGTGATGTGACCCTTGGCTAAACGGACTTCAAGTATTTCTCGGAAAGATGCAAATGTGTCATAAAAGTGTATTTTTAAGGTAAAGTGGGTCTTTGCTCCATGTTTTTGTAAACCAAAAATGTATATTTTTACGCAAATTTGAGGGTAAACTGTCAAAAATATGGAGCGAAGACCCACTGATATTGAAAAAATGTGTTATAGTATGAGAAAATGATCCTTTTTGCCCTCTTTAGTGTGTGTGTATGCTATTTATTAGGCAAATAATTTCAATTTTTGTGAGATTTTTGCAAATTGTGGAGATTTTACGTAAAGTATTTTTTAATTTTAGATGAAATATCACAGAAAATTTTGTTATAATTGAGATTTTATTTTTCACTTTCATGTTTGTCGCACTATAGGCATTGCGCTTGCCTTGTTCGCCCACCTTCTTTAAAAATAATCAAAATGTTGTTTCATCTTATTAAATGTACATGTACTTATTTTATCAAAAAAAAAAAAAAAAGAAAAAGAAAAAAAAAAGGAAAAAAAAAAGAAATGTAAATTGAAAAAATGACTTCATATCTGGTCAAAATACTTGTATATAAACTTCGAAGTTTGTGAGTGTCAGAGTCGTACTATGGATGTATTTTCTGTACATCCATCTGTCTAAATGTTAATAGGAATATCTGTTATCCATTTTTAGCTCACCTCAATGAAGTTGGGGGAGCCCATGTATTATTAAACCCTCGGCGTCGCCATTGGCGTCCAAGGTCAAAGTTTTTGGAGCAGTTTTTTTTTTCAGATACTTCTATGCCCTATATTGATCAGAGATTCATGCTTTGCTTCTAGTATACTCTTCAAAAAAAAAAAAAAAAAACGCATAATAGGATAATAGGAATAAGACGCTGAATAATATAAAATAGTTTTTGTCATACGATTTCTTTTAAACGCTCTTGCGAACTTGACAGCCATTCTACGAAAGTCACAGACAAAAAGACCTAATTTTGCAAAATGCTATAATCTGGCCTTTTTAAAACTTTTCTTTTGTTGGTTTATGATCCATATCATTCAGAAAAAGTCTATCAAACGCATGGGTTCTCGATTTTTTGTTTCTGGTATTTTTAAAAATTGACGCTATTTTAAAATGCTGAATTTAAATGACGCACATGGCAAAAAGTAAATTGGCGACTGGAAGCAGGTGCACCACAATCTACTGTTGCAAGAGGTTTTAATGTTGCACAAAGCACCATACATGTATATCACCTACAAAACAGATACCAACAGCATGTTATTACAAATGATCGCCAAAATATGGCAGATCATGCGTGATATCAGCATCACAGGATCGCTTCATTGGTTTGCGTAATCTTCATTAACGTTCCACAATGACGTCGTCTACAGTATTAGCTATCCCTGAACTGCACAGACAAGACCGTTTGCTGGAATTAGAGCTTGGGTACTTATTCCTGCTATTGGTCTGACCCAACAACAGTCAAATATCGACTTCAAATGTGTCAGATCAACAGAATATGGCCACAACAACACCGCTGAACAGTTTGGTTTAACTTCAAGTCCAAAACTCTATCGCAAATCCTGATGGAAGAGCCAGATTGTATAATCTTCGTAACGATCGTTTTTGCAGAAAACTGTGTTCGGGAAGTTGATAGAGTTGGTGGTGGTAGTGAAATGATGTGGACAACGTTATTGTATACCAGCAGGACTGATTTGGTTTAATACGAAGGACTTTGACAACACAAAGATACTCCTAAGATGTCCTACCTGCTTATGTCTCTCTAATAATGCAGCATCCTGGATTCATTCTGACAATACACAGCTTCATACAACTCGTTTAACAAGTGCATCCGTGCAAGACCACAGTATCTTGTTCTGCCTTGATCAATTAAACAGCCAAATTTATACCCAATTGATCATGCATTGCACAAAATGGATAAGCATATCCCTAAAAGACAACCGCATCTTCAGACTCTCCAACAGCTGACACAAGCTCTACATTTAGAGTTGGTTAGCATTCCTATACAGTTTCAAACATATATTCTCACTTGCGTCCATTGGGATGAAGTTCTAGGCTATCATTGGTGTCTGTGGTGGGCATACAAGATAGTGATCTGAAATGACCTTGAACTCTATGATTGAAAAAGTCTTGAACATTTATGACATTTTGATTATAGACCCATTGTTTACCTCATTTCTTTGTTATCAATATATCATTCTACTAAGAATCCATAATGTCTTAATGAGTCACTAAAATTCTAATATGAGTTTCTTTTTCTGAAGAGTATATGTTTTATTATACCCATCAGATTTCAAATGCTGCATTTTTAGCCAAAGATTGATTGATTGTATGTTGTTTTACGTCCCTTTTGAGAATTTTTCACTCATATAGAGACGTCACCATATACCGGTGAAGGGCTTCAAACTTAGACCTATACTCGACACTCAGGGCCATTAAGCAGTGAGGGTTATTTATCGTGCCAACGCGACACGGGACATCGGTTTTTAAGGTCTCATCGGAAAGACTTTCACTTATAATGCCAGGCGCTTGGGGAAGGAACAGTCACTAACAGCAATAATAACCTCTACCTTTTTTTTGGGGGGGGGGGGGCATCGGATCTCCGTACAAATCATTTGGTGCAAAAAATGATTTTTAGTACGAATGTCGTCAGGCAAATTTCCTTCAAATAAGATGGATTTTTTTATTTTTCATTTTCAACCTAGTCCTTAATGCGGTAACACAAGGTAAAATACAACTTCATATTTTCCAGTCGTTATCCTCAGCTGTGAAGACAGTTCTCGCGTGATGTACTGAGACTTGTGCTTGAAATTTAGAAAAGCTTGACAATATAAATGTCGGTGTTGATAAATGCTTGTGTTGTTTGGTATTACTTAACATAGATGAATATACGCATTCCGTATGAAATTTTTTATAAACAGCGATATTTATGCTTGAAATACTCGAATTCCTAAATACCTTCCTATGAGTGAGAATTTATTGTTGTTTAAAATAATCAATTTTCATATGTTACTTAAACATTTAAAATCGAATTATATTCTTGTTTTATGGTTTATTATAAGGTGCAGTTTTTGATACACACACTAAGATTGGTATTTGAAGAATTCACCACATGCTTCATAATTCCAAAATTATACGATCAATTCTAGTCATACGTTAGACTGTTTGAAACCAATTGTGTTGTGTAAGATATACATATATGATTTAACAGTCATTTTTTGTAATTCAGTCCATTTCAAGTAAGTGACTGTTTTGTTTATGTTCAGCAATATATCATAATTAGATTACCTTTTGCAATACTGATGTCATTACCTTTTGTTTTCTCTTTAAAATGGCGGATACATGAATTTAAGTGAGTTCGTCAAAAGAAATATCACTTTTTGCGATAGAGAATTCTTGTAAGATCTCTCTTGCAACAAAAGGGTTTCAGTTTATGAAGAATTTTATGTTTTAAAGAGAGAAAGAGGTCTCATTTATGGGCAATTTTGTGGTTTTAAGAAAGTATGTAATTTTTTTTTGTAAAAAAAAATATAAATCTTTTTCTAGAAAAAATAAACATATCTCACACGCAGGAAGATATATATCATGTGAAAAAAGATGTTTTTCTGTCCATTTTACCTCTTGGACCAAAAGAGATAATCCTTTTTTGCATGAAGAATATCCCTAGAATGAAGGATATCTTTAAGAAAAGGGATACCCTTTTAATACAAGAAATACTTTATCAATAAATACTAAAACAGCATGTCATAGATATGTAGTGTTAAAAGAATTAAATATTGTCATACTTTGAATTTGTTTTCATTGTATTTGATCGATTTTCTGTCACTGTTTCATACAAGATTCAGGAATCAGCTCCTGAAAGATTTCAAGGAGGATTTTGAGGAAACATTTGGGGAAAAAGACACGGAATGGCTCCTATCCATTCTCCGACGAGAGATGCTGATAGAAACAGGTGACATGATGTTGAATAGGGAAAACTATCTAGGTAGGTTGGAAGAGTTTGCGATAATGAATTCTTCTTAAGTCATAAGTGCATACGGATAAAAAATTAGAAGCCAATGAATTATTTAAAATGGACACTGTTTATTACTTTTAGGAATTCAAAAAATCTAGAACATATCCACTGTTGAAATTATATATATCCTCTCAAAGACTCCTTTGTAAAGGTAAAAATAATAATTTTGTTGTATAGCGTTTTGCACTCTTGACGATGTTGTTCATCCGCTGTGGTTCAGAATCCAGGAACAAGCCAGAGAGAGCTATGCAATGAGGGAAGTATTCAGTATGGATTCCTCTGTCAGGGTCCAGGCCATTGAAAATTTAGGTAAATTTTGTCTTTGTTTGTTTGTGTTTAATGTCCCTCTCGAGAATTTTTCACTCATACGGAGATAAGGTAAATTTTGTGAAAAAATTCTTTCATAATGCAAAAGTCACATATAGTTAAATAAACACATGAATTGAACTTTTTTTTTTACCAAAGGCAAGTACAAAAGTGCAACAGTGATAGAAGCTTTACTGGACCTGCTAACAGACAATGATGTCAACATACAAGCTGTAGCCATTATCTCTCTGGCAAGGACAGGGTCCAATGATATCAAAACCATTGTCAACCTGAAAAAGTGTCTGAAATCTAAAGACCGGGTGGTGAGGGAGGCAGCGTGCCTGGCCCTGGGGCATGTCAAGGCAACACAGGCTGTGGAAGCACTGGTCAATCTGTGGTAAAGTTTTTATACAATGCATCTTCTTTTCACTTTGCTTTCAATTTTTGCTGCATTTTAATAAGAAGAATATGATATGATTTCTAGAAAATCTTGGGCAGTATTTGATGTTGCATATAATCTTATCCAGAACATATTCCTTATAGTTCCAGTTGGAATATTAAATCTTAAAATAATATTAAAATACGGAATTAGTCAAAAAATCAACCAGCATAAATTGTAGTGACTTTTTAACTGCATTTAATAATTGAATAATTAATCTTGCAAAGATTTTTAAATACAAATATTGATTATATTTGTCTTTTAAGTATGCATTTGATGAAAATTTGGCCTTGTATAGTATTTAAATTTCCTGAAATTTTAAACATCTCTCTGTCCTCTGTTGTGTAAATTACAGAAAATTGCACTACTTCGTTTTTGTATTTTTAAAAAGCAACAATAAAGACTCAGTTAATTGATGATAACATAGTAAACAATAGGTCATTCTAAATAGATAATATTATAACGCTCGGTTACATATTAGTAAGATATGAATTTTAAAAAAAATCTATGATTTAAGAACATTTTGTAATGCTCGTGCCATGAAATGGCCGGGGAATATAGTGTTATCCCTTTCCGTCCGTCATTCTTTCATTGTCATTCCGTCATAGTTACTTTTCCGCCCCCCCTTTTTTTTTTTGCTATACTTGTAGATAACAAGTTTGATTTTTGGGATGTTGACCTGTTTTAACGAAAATTACGTTCCTTAGACTTTGAAAATTTCTATTAATTCAACGTTTTCCGGACTTTTTCTATGATTGAGAATAACGAGTTGATATTTCTTTTTATTTCTTTTGATACTGATAATTTGCAGATCGAGTTTTTGAGTATTGTTGCGATTGGCCCATTTTAACTAAAGTTATGACCCTTAGACTTTGAAAATTTCAAATAGTTAACCGTTTTCCAGACTTAATTTTTTCTTTGCTTGTAGATAGTCAGCAGATATGTCTCTTGAGTACGATGAATTACGGATTAACTTCATGTTTCTCTTTGACTGTTAAAATTTCCAATTCACCCTTACTCCTTCGTTTTTTTTTCTTTTTGTACCATTTCCATCCATTATTATTTTCACACTCTTAGAATTTCACTTAATTAAATGTTGCATGTCAGCGGAGGCTCTCTTGTCACCCTCTAGTTTGAATTTGATTGTAGGAGAAATGATATTATCTCCAATGTTAGAGAAGCAGCTCTTGTTGCTCTGAAAAACATCGGGGGAGAAAAGGCTGAAGAGGCTATCCGAGTCACCACAGTTCTGGAGAGAGAAATCCGTGCTCTGAAGGCATAACCAATTTAACGAATTCTCAAATGAGTTGGATTCGACGTACAATTACAAAAAAAAAAAAGAAAGATAATTTTTGTACAGTGTCACACAATATTGTGACAAAAGACTTGCTTAGTCTGTGATAGAAATGTTTTTGAAATTTTTTTCGACACATTTAAATTGAATCTTTATCATTTTAGACGATTAGTAAATCATTCCCAGATAGCATGACTATGTTGGGCCAACATAGGCCCAACAATGCTCGTTACGTCGGGCCAACGTTGGCAAACAATGTTGGCCCAACGTTATTTTGCTCATCGGTTCTGCGTAGGCCCAACGTGTAGGGCCTACACTGGCCCAACATGTTGGGCCTGCATTGGCCCAACAATGCTAGATTACGTCGTACCAACGTTTGTAAACAATGTTGGCCCAACGTTATTTTGCTCATCGGTTCTACGTAGGCCCAACGTGTAGGGCCTGCATTGGCCCAACAATGCTAGATTACGTCGGGCCAATGTTGGTAAAAGACGTTAAATTGGCCCAACGTTATTTTGCTCATCAGTTCTACGTAGGCCCAGCTGAAGGTCCTACATAGGTCCAACGTGTAGAACCCATCGGCTCAATGTTGGCAAACAATGGACATGTACGTTAAACGTTGACCCATATATTTCCCCTTTGGTCAAACAATAATTCACTATTTACTGTTACAATTTTACTTTATCATGAAAAATAGGTGTTTAAAAGATAAGTAATAAAACATTAATTGAAAAAAAAATCTCTTTTATTTTTTATTGTACTTAGTTCTCTTTTTTTTGGTGAAATGGTACATTTTAAAATTTGCGCCAAATTTTTTAAAAGATAAATGCCTAAAAAAACAGAATTAAAGAATGGAAAATGTTCATATTCTTTTAGTGGTTAGGAACCAAATTCATTTTAGCGACACACATCTAAGCATGCTCAGGTTCACTTTCTGTTTGATCATCTTGAGTGTTTTGGTTGGCTATCTGCTGCCTCCTTTTTTCGGCCCTTTTCTTTCGCCCGCCGTCCCTGTCGCTCGCAAAACGGAACCAGTCTTTAGCTATAGTGAATATCTCTGTGTCAGTGGTGTTGGAGCACAAGCGATTCTTCCTTACTGTTTCTAAATAAATAAATAAATAAATAAGAATAATGTATTTATTTCTCAAAGAATGTCCATGGAAGACCTCTCTCTCTCTCTCTCTCTCTCAATACATACCTTTTAATATTTCCTTTAATTTTAAGGAAGAGAAAGGAATTTTCCCTCCCTTTCCCATCCAGTTTATCTTAATCGCCAGTGGGTTTGATATCATGTGAGACAGGAGTCTCCTGATTGTTGTTTTGGCATTTTCCCCTCCAATTGTTGATAACGATTTCACCTGTATAATTTAAGATGTGTGCATAATGAATGCATATAATAAATGGCACCTCATGTACATGTAGCAATTATATATATATATATAGAGAGAGAGAGAGAGACATTTAAACCTACCAAAGTTTTACATTTGTCCTTATCCTGCAGTGTGTCTTCTAGCTTATCGATATCTTCTTGTGATTTAAGAGGAAAGCACACGTCTAATTCCGTGTCAAGCTCATTTCCACCGGATATTGGGAGGCCTCCAAGTCCATCAACCTTTGAGATTGTTGCCTGTAACAGCTGCGTGTTTAGGTGCATCTGTACTTTCAATTCCTCAACGTTGGTCATGATTTTTTCCAAGCAGTTTACAATTTTCTTTTCTGATGCTAAAAACAAGGTTAGAGTTTAAAACAGACAATAAATAAGTTTGCAATATTTATGTGAGATAACATTTTAAAAAAAATAAATTGGCACTGAATCATTTTAAATACATACCTGAAGTGGAGGGGCCTTTATCAAATAACGATGCTGTACAATTGGTTGGTGCTTTAGTTTTTGTTGGTTTTGAAGACGAGGGCTGACATGGGGGAGCTGGAAGGCTTGGCAGATTTGGTGGGGCAATTTTCCTTTGAATCTTTCGAGGAGATTTTCTAATCTGTTGTCGGTGGTGTTCCTCATCTTGTTGTTTATCACACTCAACTTCTTCTGAATCTGAAGACTCAAAACGGCTTGGTCTAGGAACACAATACCAATGTATTGTTAGAATAATCTTAACATAACTTTGAATGGTAATACAAAACATGACTAAGTTGATATAATACAAACTTTTTGGTCTTCCTGGAACCAATATCCTCGTTCTCTTCAGCATCAGTTTGCAAGTCTGATGTATATGTTGCTTTTGACAGTTTTTTCCGTGCATCGTTGTACTCCGCTGCATAAAGATATATACATGTATTCACTAGACCAAAATCTCTAATACAATGTTGATTATACAGTAATATGTACTGAATATATATACTCAAGTTTACTATATAATTATATTTTGATTGCTGATAGACTTACTTGTTTTTGCCAGTACCCTGACTGGAAGAGGTCTAAATTCTGCATTCGGGGCAATATTTGCCTTCACTGCCTTTCTTATTTTGGCTGTCATTCTAAAGGTTGGCCACTGGCACATAGTTTCATTTTCAGCTAACCACCTCATAGGAACCACATCAACTTCCTTTTCTTCTGTAAATTCCACCACTGCATATCCATTAGTTGTCAATGACCTTATTAATGATTTGATTTAAATTAAGTTTTAAAACAAAAAACAAAAACAAGATACCAAAAAAAAAAAAAACAAAACAAAACCCAAAACCATAAAACTATTATTTTTGCTGACTATTCACTCCAATTGTAAGGTGTTTTTTAACCTACCAATCAGCATCTGTAAATGAAATCGCAATATATTTGTTCTTGAATGGCAGAATGACACATTTGGATTCTACGTCATTCAATTCGGAAAAATGAAAAGTGTTTCCTAAATTCGAAACTTTTAAAATTCCCAGTAATTTGGATTCTAACGGACATACGAATGCGTTTTCTGATGTTCCAAAGACCTGATGAACAAGAAAAATTTTACCTTCATGCAAAATAATGTTTTTAATTAGGCATATTTTTCCATCGATTCGTACACAGCTATCTTTGAAATTTGTTTTAAATACATATCTCACTGTCTCTACTTTCTGATACTGACAACCATGCACAAGTCTTTCATGAACAGGTCCACTGCTATGGGGTTTACTTAAATGTGGATAAGTTTTTTGTTCCTTTTGCAAATCCGTTTGTTCTGACAATCTGCGAATAATTTGTGCCAAAGGAAAAGTTGGCTTCCTCACCATTTTTTTTAACTTCGAAAGAAAGTTTTCAAATGGAAATGCAGAAATGTTGTCTAAACTACCAAAAGTTCGGGCTTCATCAGCAAGATGAACCAAACAATGGACATTGTAAACAGCCATTTCATCGCCATAAACCTGATAAAAATGTGTGACAAAAGTTCGTAGGAGATCGTGTGCATATTGATTGTATTCATTTGATAGCCTCTCATTAAGTAGAATACGTATCCCCACACTAAAAAGAAGAAAATTATGATAAATGTTTGGATGAACAGCATCATATAAAGCTACAACCCCAGTGTATAGCAAAAACTGTCGGAACTCTGTTGCCTTCCATCTTTCTATTTCTGCTAATGGCCGAGGCTTTCTTGCGAATTCAGATGGTATGCAATGCTTAAGTGCCACTAAAGACTCAGATATTTGCTGCACTTCATGCGATCCTAGTCTACAATGCAATGGACCTTTAATCCACAGTAAAAGGAGGCGTTTCATGACTCCAAGACAAACCAAATGCATATAATCCAAGGGGATTTGTGTAACCATGCGTATACTTGTTATGGAGAGAGGGGAATCACCTAAATGATGGTCATCGTCATATTGTTGAGAAAAGGATTGATCTGTTCTTAAAGGAGCGTTTATCTCAGGAAATGTCATCTTACCCATCCACCTGCCGCGTTGAGTACATTTTTCACAACCGTGATAACCAGAATAAGACTTCACATTTTTAATGAATGCCCTGGCTGGTGCATCACATATGATTGAATCGATCGTAACATTTAACTGTTTTCCTGAGAATTCAATTCCATTTCTTTCAATTTCCATATATTCAGTTATAAAGTCATATAAATATTCTTCAAGATTATTAGGTTTTTTGGTTCCATAGAATAGACAAATAATGAAAATTTTATTGTTGCCTTCGATGTTTTGAATTTGTCCAAGTATTGGCCAAAATTGGTCAGAGGTGCTCTTGAAGAGAGGTAAACCATCAATATTTATTTGTAGTTTCAGTGAAAATTGATCTGGTATCACATTTGTACTTTGGTTAAGTACATGGCAAAGGGATGACGCAATGCCAAAGTAATAGTACTCTCCCCCACATTTAGTTTGAATGGTATAATTCATTTTCGTTTTAAGTAATGTTCGAGGATCTTTTGGCAAATCAGGATGGAAATGGCGTAAAATTTTTAAAAGATCAGACAAAGAAACATTTGGAATCTGATGTTTAACAGCCCAATCTCGTAAATAATTTTTCAAAGCCTCATCTGACTCATTATCACTCTCTCTATCAGCATTTGAGTCAGAAGAGTCACTCCATACATGTCTCAATCCACAGTGCATCTCAAACTCATTGCTATTTTCTGCTTGTGCATGACAAATATCACTTTCTTCATTGTCTGTAGACCTTCTACTTAAGACTGATTCTTCATCTGAGATTATTTGCTCTACTTCAGAACTACATGGTTCGTCAATATTACTATCAGCTGAAACTGCAGGGCCTATCTGCAATGAACAACTATTTTGTTCAAATGTTTCTTCATCTTCACTTTCTAAGACATTTTGAGCTAATGTTCTACGAACACGTCTTCTAATTGACCAGTATGACGTGCCCTTTCCCCTTGGGTACTCATTCATTTTAATAGTGAAAGGGAATAGTCAGCAAAATAATTTTCAAAAACCCAACAATATCTAAATTAATTTAAAGATGACTTTTTAAGGATATGGATATGCAATGGCATCCACAAAAATAAATTTTACCTGCAACGAAAAGATCTTTTTTAAATTTGTTACCTTTTTTGATTCATTTTTATATCAATTTAATTCTACAATAATTTACCCAAAATTTATTTTGTTTTCATTTAGTACATTAAGA